ACTAGTACAAATAGTAGAAATGTATGTACTGCATATATGTTACTATTTTATAAATTATTTAATAAAGATACAAGCAAGACTTTACTTTAAAAAAAAAAAATAATAATAATATCTATATAACTGGTTATATAAAGAAATACAAATTAAAATTAGATTATACAAACTTTAAATAAGTTTTTGTAATTATATAAATTTGTTAAAATTAGAAAACAAAAAATTCATTTAAAAAAATCTGAATAGAAAAGTAATATAGATTTTTAATAATACTATTGTAAAAACTAATTTTATAAAACAAATACTAATATAAAGAAACTAAACAGACAAGAACTTTTAGATAAAAGGTACTATTAACCAAATTATCAGAATAAACTAAAAAAAAAATATTAAGCTGATCTGATATACTAATAAACTAGTTATAATTTTATTAAATTATCTAAATTGGAAGTCTAAAAACAATGCAGATATACAAAATATTTCAGATATATTATGAAATAATATTAGAATTTAAGTAAACTCTGTAAGAATAATAATTTAATAATTAACCTTGACCACAAGTATTAGTTTTATTATATCAATATCAGGTTAGTTGTAAAAATAAATAAGAGATTTATCTTAAAGATAAAATTATTCTAAGATTGAAACAATAATCTAAACATGGCTTAGTAATATTAATACAAATTATAAATTCAAAAAATTTAAAACAAAACATCTAAGTAGAAGTGTTAAATATAACAATTAGTAAAGAACCTTTGGATAGACTTCTTAAATAAGTAATATAAAAAAATTGTACATATAACCAATTGTATACTCTTTTTTGTAATAGTTCTTTATAAAACACATTATCAAAAAAATGGTAATAAAAATTAAAAAAAAAACCAAAAAGGCCATCTTAATATCAAAAAAAAAAAACTTAACAACTTAATCAAATTTAATAAAATAAATTTTGCAAACTTATAGAATTTATTTTAAAAAAATTTAATATTTAGATGTTTCTATGTAATAAAACTAGTTTTATAACCTGCTTTTGCTATAGGTACCCTATTTAAAGTTTTTAAAAAATTCAATAAAAAAAAGTTGCTTGATTTTTATTGACTTATTCCATACGTTACATACAAAAAAATTGTTAAATGATCGACGCACCTAAGTTTCGTAGCAAAATTTTACTTTATAAACTTATTTAATTAAAAGAAATTTTCAGATTAATTTCTTAATATAATTTTACAAATTCTCTAGCATTAAAAGGTTCTTATAAAATTTTAAAAGTCATCTAAAATAGAGCTCGAAGTTTGCTAATTTTTACGGTTGTTTATAAGTTATACACATCATTTAGCAAAATAAGACATTCCTTTGGGCTTATGGTTCTTTATGAGAACCTTCTAATGCTAGAGAGTTTGTAAAATTATATTAAGAAATTAAACTGGAAACTTCCTAAATTCACTTCTTAGTTGAGTCGATCATTTGACTCACATGATCTGAATATAGTAACTGGTATAAGTTTGCTTCTAAAATTTTAAAAAACTACTTTGGGAGCTCTGAAACTAAGATCTAGTTGACCGTTATAATAAAGAAAAAAAAAGCCGAGGTTTTTTAAAAATAAACAGCACTTTAATTATTGTATTTAACAAATTTTTGGCGTTGTTACTACGTAGTAAAAGGTTTGTCTATTTTGGGACCTTAAAAAACCATTCCTGGATCTTTGAATCTAAGGTCTTCTTGAGTGTAAAACCTTCGGCGTTGTTATTAGAAAAGTTTTGTCAATTTTAGAATCTTAACCATTTCTGGATCTTTAATTCTAAGGTCTTATTAAGCGTAAATACAAGATTTCCAAACACAATACTAATGAAAAAAAGCAGTAACTTAACGTTAATGCTTGTACGTAGTGACTATTACTAAATAAATCAACATACTACATAAATTGCATTTTTGATACCTATATAACCTACTAACTCTAACAGCATCAAAAAAGTAACCTGAAAATTTACTCCACTTTAACCGATCCGCAAATCCGCCCATATGGAAATTTGCCAGGTTATAAAAAAAAATTTTTTTTAAATAAAAAACTTTCGATAGAATAGACAAGACTTTTTTTTTAAAAAGAAAAAGATATGGTAAAATAGACTTTAATTTGTAACGTTTGACAATGTTACACATAATAAACCCCGATATGCACCATTGAAATATCCGCATGAGCCGATAAAAATTCATACATGGGAGGTACTTTAGACCGCGAAATACGGTATGTCGCTCTCTTGTGAAGAATGAAAATCGCAGTCGCTACCCCAGAGGGCGAAGTCCATAATATAGAAGTGGACTCTCAATTCGAATTGGAAAATCTTAAGGCCTTGATTGAATCCGAGGTTCGAGTACTAATATTATTCTGTTAATACCTATAATAATTGTGGTTTTTAACACTTATTTTTATTATGATCCATATTACCTTAGACAGGGATACCACCCGCTGATCAAATTCTTTCTTATCATGGTCAAGAACTAACAGATCCGAAAAAAACTCTTGAGCAATATGGTGTTCTTGAGAATGACATACTGTCACTTAGGAAAAATCCTCAAGCTATACCTAGAGAGTAAATTGAGTTTCATATCTATGTTATTTTTCCAACCCGAGTAAGGCAGTTGTTATTTACCTAGTAAATTATGACATAATTTAGCGGAGCAGAAATAGAACTAATGCGGCAGCAGATATTGAACCAGCCTCAAGTTTCGGAACAATTGCTTCAAGTAAGTCTATTATCTTAAGCAATTAATCCCATATTACAATAATTAAGGGAATTGTTTTTATTTGCAGACTCAGCCTGAATTATTTGATGCTGCATTTACTGGTTCAGAACAATTTGCTTCATTAATCCGTCAAATGAACCAGCGTAGTCAACAAGCCGCATTGGCCCGTCAAATGAACCAGCATAGTCAACAGGTTGTAAGACTTCACTAGAAGGACTGGTCAGGAAATGATAATGGTTCACGTTATATTAACCATTTCAAAAACCTTTTTAGAATACCCCCAATGATCCACTAGATATTGGAAATCAGAGAAGGATTGAAGAAGAAATAAGAATGAAAAATATTGAAGAAAATTGGCGAACTGCCTATGAAAAAATTCCCCAATTCTTCGCTCGAGTGAGTGATCATTTGTTTTTATTTCAAGTCATTTGAGCGTATTTCCTGCGCTTAGTGAAATCCATCCAATTTTCATTAAAATTTATCTCCAGGTAGTAATGTTATACATTAACATCGAAATCAATGGACATCAAATCAAGGCTTTTGTGGATTCCGGATGTCAAAGTACTATTAGTAAGTGCGAGTGCAAGCGTCAATTTTTATTATGCTTATAATCATCCTTACGCTGAAAATTGCATTAAGTGAGTCCTCAATGCGCTGAAAAATGCGGGTGAGCATTGATAATACGGTCAAACGTTTACGGGTCAAATATTAGTTATCATTAATTAAATAGCATTAATTATTACGAAATATAGAATTATGAGACTTCTTGATAAACGATATGCCGGGCGTGCTGTGGGAGTTGGAACTGCTGAAATCATAGGCCGCGTCCATTATGTCGAAGCTGAGATCCATGTTAAAGCTGAAAATCATGTTGGATATTTATCATTGGAATGCTCATTTATGATTATGGAGGTTTGTAGAATTATTTGCGTACTAGCTGGAATTTTTCATACCGATGGGTAACATTGGCATTGTGAGAATTTACTTTACGTAATTTTTTTATATACAGGGAAGCAATGATGTATTATTCGGGCTGGACATGTTAATGTGCCACCAGGTTGGTTCATAAGATATAAATCTGTTATTTTGTGCCAAGTTGGATCATTTAATTTAACTAAGTCAAATTTCCATAATAAATAATTGGTAGGCATGCATTGATTTAAAGAAGAAAGCGTTGATAATCAATGATGTGCCAATTCCTTTTCTGGCTGAACATGAACTACCAGAAAGTGCACGGTCGATTGGAGAGGGAAGCCTCTAATCCCCTCACAGTTCCGATTGGATGCAGTAAATATTAAGGTGGTAAAGTTGGTTTGGTTATGTTTTAAATCCAAATTAAAAACCTAAGAACCGGTTTTGATATAATAAGTTCCAAACCCAAGTCAAACCTAGTTTGGTTCAGAACCAAAATTAAAACCTGGTTCTCAATCTTTTGTAAGGCATTAAAAATAAAAAATATATTAATAAAAAGTTAATTCGTATCAAACTTTTAGAAAATATTTTGTTTGATTTTCTGAATAACTTTAATATGCTAATATTGATTTATTTATTTATTGCGGTTTTCGAAAAATTTATAAAATAATATCGAAAGAGTAAATAGAAAAATATAATTAATATTATATTATGTTAATAAAATCATTACCAATTTTTAAATTTTATTAATTTTTTAATTTTATTATTTTAGTAAATTAAGATATTTTATGATATTATAATTATTGAAAAGTGGTAAACCGGCTAGTTCTTGCTTTACTAATAAAGAGGCAGCATATTGGAAAACACTATTGCGTACTACACCTGGGTTCACTATTGCTCCCTATGCTTGTACTTGACGTTTTTCCCAATTATGAAATTAAAAATAAGTTTGATAGTTTTATTTATAGATCTTTTGTTTTTTCTCTTAAGCAGTCATGTTAGTCTTTATTAAGATTTTTGAAATTACTTTTGCAATTACATAGATATATATAACAACTAAGTCTAGTATTATCTAGTCACCCTAATGATACCTAAGTGCAATTTGTTATATTACTTCAAGCAGAAGTAAATTGTTTGTTTGAATACTTAAAGTTTATAATAAAAAGGTTTTCTTCTTTTTATAACAAGTCTTAACATTGTTTTCTTAACTTTTTCTTCAATTTATTTTTTTTTCTCTTTTGTTTTTTTTTTCTTTTATTTCCTATCGGTTGTTTTCTTTTTTGAGTTTTCTTCTTTAGTTTAATTGATTTTTTTTTCTTTTTTCATTTACTAATTCTTTTACATCTTGTTTTTTACATTTGTTTATAAAATATATTTAAGTTTTTTTTGTTATTATATTTATAAACTGTTACCTTAATTTTGTATTTAGAAGTCGTATTAGTTTGTCTTACATTTTTTTTTTAGAATTAGACTTTTAATTGGTATTTTTTTTATCTCTATTTTTTCTGTTTGTATTTTAAAAAAGATTGTATATAATATATTTGAAAAATTTGAATTTTTTTGGATTTTTTCATATTGTTACTATAGTTATTTTTTAAATTTTTTTTCAAAGATTTATTTGTCTTTTATATAATACTAGATATTTTTTTTTTAGTTTAAAGTAACAATCTTGCCTGTATGTCTTTATTTAGTAACATATCCTTTAAATTGTATTGCATGCAAATTTGCCTGCATCTTTTTTTAAAAAATTAATTTTTATAATAAACTTTTAACAATTAATTTTAGCAATATACTTTCTAAGTAAAAAAAAATTTTTAAAATTCTATTTTATAAACTTAGTTAAGAAACTTTTTTAATTTTATTAAAAAACTTTTAATTAATTAAGTTTAAAGATTGTATAATTAAAATTACAAAATTATAATTTTAAATATTTTGTTCAAGTTGTTTAAATAAAATTATTTTTTAAAAATTTAGCTGCTAATAAAATTTAAGTTCTAAATCTACTGCTTAAAAGATAATAATTCAACTATTATATTAGAATTACTATTCTTTTAAAAAATAGTTTATAATAAACTATTTTTTAATCTATAGACTTTTTTAAATAAATTTGTTTAAAAAATTATTAAAAATATGTTTATGATCTATTTTTTTAAATTTTAAAATATTTAAATAAAAATTTATTTGATAATATTTAAAAATAAGAATTATATTATAGCAGTATTTAATTTTATATTTTTTTAAAAAAAAATATTGCTTATAAGCTAAAAATAGACAAATTTAAAAAAAAATTTTAATCAAAAAAATTATTTACAAATTTTTGATGAACTTTTTAAATATTAATTTTAAACTTATAATTTTTAATACAATATTTTAGTTTATATAAAGGATAACAATTTTTATTAGTAATACTTTTGCAATTTACTTATAAAAATTTAGACTTGTACAAAGTATAAAATTTTTTTTTAGTTTTAAAAATATAAGAAATTTTAAAAAATCTTTAAAAATTTTTAATAGTAAAAATTTTTAAATAGAATCTTTAAAATTTTAATATATAAAAGTTTATTAATATTTTGAAAAAATTTTTATAATAAAGTTTTTTTTTTTTTAACTATTCCAGATGAAGCACTGTGGAGCACGTGTGGCGCTCTTTATTATTAAATATATTTACAGAATTATTATTTACAAATTAGGGGTTCTAGACTAAATATTTATAGATTCTCTTATAAATTAGTTTAACTAAGGTTTTGGTCTGAAGTAAACCAATTTCTCTGGAGATTCTGCTTCTTGCTATAGCAGTGATTGCTGACTCTGGATACCGTAATTCGCCCCACTTATATGCTGCATAATAGCACCAAATTTCATAGATAGTTTGTGTATGTAACCACAAGATCGTGTTATATGTTTTGGCCTTTTTTGAACTTTCTTTTAAGAAGATTTTATCTATTGAATCTGGGATAACTTCTGTTTGGCTGGTTTTTAAGAATTTGTAGGCTTCTGTCCAAATCGCCTTGCTAATTTTGCATTCTACTGCCAGGTGTTCAATAGTTTGTATAGTGTCTGAGCACCATGGACATTCACTTGAGTCTGTTGGTATGAAGTGACGAAGTCTGTATCCTAGAGGTAAGGCTCTCTGAAAAAAATGCCAGAGTATGTCCTTCTTTTTATTTAGAATTGCTTTTTGGAGAATCCAGTTGCAGTCTTAAGGTTGTGTTATAGTATAAGTTTGGTTTGTTGAGTTGGATTCATGTTTTCTTAAAAGTTCAACTATAAGTTTAACTTTACTTCTAGTATTCTTTTTCCATCGATTTCTAGATTAATAGGGTTCCATGGCCAGTCTGAATCTGAAAGAATTTTTCCATTAACTTTTTTTCATGCCAGCAGATAGGTTTTCCATTCTATAGGCCAGGCTTTTGACTTAATAGGCTGTATAGAAAGAGCCTCTTTTGCTGTAATATTTCTTTTTTGGCCAAGTAGAAGAGTTATTTGTTTTCTTTCTATTTTGGCCTATAGTAGGTCGCTTGAGATTAGTTTAGTCCAGACTGAAATTAGCCTAGCTTCTAGCATATTGCCAATTATTGGTACTTGTAGTCCTTCTAGTTTGTAGGGCTGTTGGAAAATAGAATATCTTAGCAACATTTTAGAGTTGCCTTTGATCCAAAATGTGATAATTCTGTTGATTTCTGCTATTTGTTTTTTGTTTGGTAGCATAAGGTAGGCAACATACCAAATTTTAGAAAGCAGCAATAAGTTTGCTAACATTATTTTTCCTTTTAGTGATAGGTTTCTGCCAGCCAATTTATCCAAACTTGTTTTAAGTTTGTTAGTTGCTTCTTGCCATAGGTTTTTTTTAGGTGTACCTTCTGATGTAATGCTATAGCCTAGCACTTTGACGTACTTCTGCTTTTCTAGTTTTTGGAATTGAGTTTCTTCTAGGAGTTCTATGCTTCTTGCCAAATTAGTAAGTGGCATTAAGTTTGTTTTAAGCTTATTGATTTTTGCATTAGAGGCTTTTTCATATTTATCGAATAGATCTAGCAATGTAGTCCAGTCTGTAGGTGAACTAATGCCAACCATTAGGTCATTCACATATGCTGCACATTTGAAGGACTGGTTGTCGATTTTGATTCCAGATATTTTGTTGTCTATTGAGTTTAGTAGTAGTTCAAATGTGAGAACATATAGCAAAGGCGAGAGAAGATCTCCTTGTCTAACTCCTCTTTTTACTCTGAAGGGGCTTGAGATATTTCCTGAGTTCAAGATGTAAGCTTCTTGTCGAATAAATAGGTTCTTTACCAGATTTCTGAACCTTTCATTGAAATTCATTTTTTTAGTACTATTTGCAGGAATTCATAACTTATTCTGTTGAAAGCTTTTTGTTGATCTACAAAAAGCATTCAATGTTCTTTGAGATCATCACTTTGGTTTCTTAGTGTTGTAAGAATGTCCATTACTAAATCTGTAATTAATCTTTTTGCAATAAAACCTTGTTAATATTGGGGTACTATTGTTTTGCAGATACTATTTAGCCTAATTGTCATGATTTTCATAAAAATCTTTGCGTCGCAATTTACTAAAGATATTGGTCTCCAATTATTTATATTATGCAGCTCTTCTGATTTCTTTAGAATTAGTATAATTAGATTCTTATACTATAATAAGGGCATTGTTCTTGTATTTAGCACCTGATTAAAAATTATTTCTAGTACTGGTGTGATCTGTTCTTCTGTGAATTTATAAAACTCATAAGTAAGACCATCCAGCCCTGGAGATTTATTATTTGGTAGTGATCTGATGACTGTTAAGTTTCTTCTTGAGTAATATGATCTGTCAGCTTGTTGTTCATGTGAGATAATACTTGTGGAAGCTCATTTGTAATTTGTTCTGCTATTTCATTATTGATGTTTTCTTTGCTATAAATTTTAGTATATTGTTTCTTAATGTAAT